TATATATAATTTATTTATTATTTAATCAAGCTGACCACACAGCCTAGAGCTTGATCAGTATTTTGTTTTAAACAAAACAACCACCTCACCTTTGATGCAACATTTCTGTGAGGGTTGCTCCATCCAGTGGTGCTATTGTATGTTCTTGACACTCTCTTACCTAAAAGTAAATAAATAAATTTAAAAAAAACAATTAAAATACACTCAGTATTTAAGCAAACAGTATAAATATATATATATGTAGTGTCAACAAAGTATATTTGGTTGTGACATCATCTGTCTAATGATGTACGGTAGTACACTGATGTTGGTTGGAGCTCTGCCTGCTCCACTTGTGTTTATAATGAATTACTGAACATGATAGGAGCAGGCAGGCTCTACATTATCTGACATCTGTCATCATCGACTAATGACAATCAGGATGAAATGACAAGACAGTCAGTTGACAAAGATTGCTGAATGTGATTGAAATGTCCAGGTAAATGTTGATGTTATTTTGGTTGAATCATAAATGAAAGTTTAACAACAAATTCAAACTTGCAGCTAAATTGTAATCATTTTCTTTAATTTGTGCTTTTGCACAATTTATTTATTTCTTGAATTATTTTATTTGATTTCGTTAATATCCAACAATGAACAATGTCACCCTTTACAGGATTAAAGAATAAAATACTATATTTTTAGTTATTCACATTTAAATATTTGACATTTAAACAAATAGCCAATATTAAACAAGACAAGAAAATAAATATCACTAACATTAAAATTTTGATGGAAACATAGTAAATATTCACAAAAAAATCAATTTTACATAAATTACGTAACTTACAGATGGTCACTAAACCCATAAAGACTTACAAATGTAGGTATTTGGATTCCCAGTAAAAAGTGAGCTGCATCTATAATGATCTTCCTTTCCTTTTCAAATTGTTCAGTCTGAAACAATGTCAAAAGTTTACACACTTAGGTTACTTGTATTTTCAAGCATGAAATGGCCAGATACAAAATCTTTTGTCTTTATTATTCTGATTAGAGATCAAAGCTGCTATAGACATGGAAACTATGGTCCCAAAAGTGGAGACCTGTATTTAGCATGTTCATTGATGTAAATTTTACATTGTTTAAAAAAATGAAACTATACATAAAATCCCATAATATAAGATTTAATTTAATGTTTTAATGGCCTTTAGAAAGATACAAAAACTGTTTTCACTTGGCAATCCAGATAGGAATTACCTTGTGTAAAATTAAGAAATGGATAAGCAAACAAAAAACAGGCGTCAACGTTCCTATGCATGATACATGGCTTAAAAAGTATATAGGCCCTATATATATACGTGTATATATATATATATACGTACATATATATACACGTATATATACACGTTTATATATATACGCGCGCGCGTATATATATACGTGTATATATACATGTATATATATATACGTATATATATATATATATATAAGTATAAATAAAATATAAGTATAAATAAAATAAATATAAATAAAATATATAAATATAAATAAATATATATACGTATACACGTATATATATATATATATATATATATATACGCGCGCGTGTACATATATACGTGTGTACATACATACGCGTGTGTATATATATATACCCATGTATATTATACGTGTATATATATATATGTATATATATACGTGTATATACATACATATATATATATATACGTATATATATATATTAATATATATACGTGTATATATATACGTATATATAATGTATATATACGTGTATATATACGTATCTAGATGTGTATAAGAGACAGGTAGTTAATTATCCTTACATTTATATATGTTGGGTCAAATTTGTGTGGAGGTTGAAAAATACAGGGGGAGTTTTTATGGCCCAAAATAGTGATTTTAGTAATGTAATGCGACAGGCAAATTACAGTAATATTTTTAGAAAATTTCTTTGAAAAAATTTCGTAGGCATAGGGCCTAGGTAGGTATACAGTAATTTCATTTTACAGTAGTTTGGAACGATATCAGGAGTAGGGGTGGTGGCAGTGGCCTACTAGGACTACAATTTATTTGAAGCTATCTTGGGTCCGATCGTCCACATCAGTTGGGCCCAATCGTCTGTCACCCCAAGTTTTCATTACGATTATCAAGAACGTACACGATCTAGGCCCTGGGCTAGGCTTAGCTTGATGTCGTCACTCTGGTACGTATACTACTACCGCATAACAAAGAAAGCGACCAACGTGGTGCATTCTTAAATATTACACACATTATTTAATTGTATTAGACGACAACACGATAACACGATATCATTGATTGAACGATCTAACTACTCGCATCGCAGTAATACTAAACTAGGCCTAGCTTAGGCCTCATGTTTTTGTGGAAAGCTAGATAGTCGTTATGTACCCTACAGTCGGCTGCCTTTATATTTTCACCTGTATTCCGTTTGCATTTAAAAGGTACATTGCTGCACAGCCAACTGTCGGGGATATAGTACCTTCATATGACTACTCATACGTAAAAAAAAACGTCGCATGGACTTAGTGAAAAATGGAGATCTGAATGAAAAAAACGATGTATTTCAGCAAGTATTAAAACATTTTAGTTTTATTTTAGGCCTTCTTCAAAATACCTATGCCTACAGCAGTTGAATTTTTTTGCCGTAAAACCAAAATAGTTTCATCCATGCCGACTTTCCGGTCGGTTAGCGTGAGTCCTGATTGAACTCTGCAGAAACTTCACATCGATCTTCCCATCGCGATGTAAAACAAAATTTCAGAAAACTTTTTTTTGACGCATGCGCATTTGCATAAATGTCTACACACACACACACTACACACAATAAAAAACAAAAGAAATGTGACTTAGAGTGATTACAATAGTTCCTATTGCATTACATGCATAGGAACTAATAAGTAAACAAAAACATATTAGAAATAAATATTTAATTAATAGAGTAGTTAAATATATTATACTCACTCCTTGATGAGCATGCAGGACGCCATCGGAGTAGATGTCCGGATTGAAGCGGATGTCAAACTCTGTGTTACTCAGGGAACCAGCAAACTGTGCGGCTTTCTTTATGATGTCCTTATGATTCTCACCGACTACAAAATACAATGTTAAACAATAAGATAAGATATAATTAATTGAAATTGCAAAGCTTTTTAACATTTGTGTATAATTTGACATTTAGTTCTTTAATTGATTGTAATCAATTGTAATCGCTTCATGAAGTTTAGTTTTAAGTCATAATGTGATGTCATCATGACCATATTTGGGCATGTCACATGTTTTTACCACATAAAATTACCGTACATAGTTTGGCGAGTGCTTAAGCCATGTAGTGGCACTTTGTAAAAGAGCAACATAAATATATCCTGTACTGTTCTGTAATGTACTTTTAACACACTGAACTGTACCATAAATACACTATAAATTCCACACATCACTGTAGCAAAAACGAAAGTTTATTTACTTGTATCCTTTGTGGCTGCTAATGTTTTCAAAGTATTTTCCTGTTCTAAAATAGTGTCCTTTGTTATGGGTAGGTCTGCTTTCATCGCATTTTGTTCTCCATTTTCCACTGTCATTTGCTGTGGAGTGCATTCTCCATTGACTTGTCCTTCTTCCTTTTTCTCTGTCTTTGATTCAGTCTGTTCATTTTGGTCCTCCTTTTCTTTATTGTTTGTTTGGTTTTTCTGTTGTTCTTGCATTAGGAGTGATGCTGCATATCGTATAAACATCATGTATCTATGCCTGGCAAAAAAAAAAAAAAAAAAAAAAAAAAAAAGATTGATTAGTAATGAGAAATCTAAATGATTACTTACAGCAAAATTACGAACCTCTGAATTTCGAAGTCAATTTGCAGCGATGACGTCGTTAAAAAACAATCTTTTCTAAATCAAAAATACTTAAAATTGTATTTTATTCAGCTGAGATATTCCATTTTCAGCTGTGCATGCCTATGCTACTGTACAGTGGAATAGGAAATCTCACTTTCTGTTCATGGGGGGGGGGGGGGGGGCNTGGCGCTATTCCAATGGATTCGCGATTGTTATGAAGAGAATAATAGCACTCGTTTTGGCTATTAATTGTCATGTTTACCTATAATAATAATAATAATAATAATAATAGATGGATTTATATAGTGCAAAAAAAACAAGGCCTCTATGCCCTCGGGACTAAACATCTTTCTCCTCCTCTGAGGGTCACTTCATGTCCTCTGCAGCCAGTAAACCGGCGCACTTTCATCTCACCACGACAGGGGCCAAGTGAACCAGTACACTGGGGTAACCCACTAGTCATCTCGAAAGATGTACTGGGTTCTTTAAAGTGCACATGAGCATTTGTGTACACTGGGCCTACGGTTTATAGTCCTTATCCGAGAAGACCTGTTCCACCACCAGAACTATAGGAGCGAGCCAGCCGCGAACCAGTGCCAATATTTTTGGCTATGATCACGGTGCCCCTGCCTTAACCCCTTTGTATACTATGTAGCATAGGCCTAGCGGTACCCTTTCCGCTGACATGCTATGAAAATTTGAATTCTCTGAATCAAAAATTTTCCTGGTTTGGACAGAGGGGTAGGAAATTTGAAGATATTATTGTACTATTCATTTTTTTCCCTGGATATAAAATCCAACAACAGAAAGGTAAATTTACTCTATTTACCATCTGAAAAAGAAAACAAACAATGATGATTTGAAACTTACTCTATGAAACTCTCTACTAACTCAGGTCTGAGTCGACACAATTTGTGTCTGTGTGCTCTAGGGAAGCCAAGTGCTTTTACATCTTCAGGGAAATTGTCGTTCTCAACTGAAACACAAAATATTAATAATATTCAGTACCCAAGGCTACCATATTCAATAATGGAAAAACTATTTACATGAATGAAACATGAATTACATACATGAAACCAATAATCCAGCACTTATAATGCACCATGGAACCTATTTTAAGGTACACAGAATTTTATAGAAAATATATTAAAAAAAAATTAACAAATAAATTTAATCATTTTCAGGAGATGTACTCCAACTGGAGCTGTGCACACAAGCAGTGGGGGGAGGGGAGGGAGGGGAGGGG